GGGGGGGGGGCGATTTCAAAAATGGCCCCCCCGGGCCCCCCAAAATGACTGAGTGGGGCGGACTAATGGGATTCAGCAGACGGTAGCTGTTTTTTAGTCGCCCGACCCCCGGCGTTTGCTTTTGCCCCTTTGGGGAAACTGATTTTCGATTCGTCCTCCTTCGCTCGCTAGATCACCCGCGGCCGCGGGGGGGGGGTCGCGGAGGGGGGGCGGGTAATTAGGGGTGTTGAGGGATGGGGTTTTCGAGGAGGCGCTTGATCGCCCTCGTCCTTTCGGACGGGCCGCCGGTCGTCCTTGCGGACGGCCGCGGCGATTGGGAGGTGGGGCAAGGAGAAGGAGGAGGAGGAGGAGGGGGGGGGGGCGAACAGGAGGAGACGAGGAGGAGGAAGCGAGAAGAAAGGAGGAGGAGAGGGGTCGAGGAGGAAAAGGGCGAGAGGAGGAGGAGGGAGAAAAGGAGGAGGAGGAGGGCGAGGAGGAGGAGGAAGAGAGGAGGAGGAGGAGGTGGAGGAGGGGGACGAGGAGGAGACGAGGAGGAGGAGGAGGAGGAGGAGGAGGAGGAGGAGGAGGAGGAGGAGGAGGAGGAGGAGGAGGAGGAGGAGGAGGAGGAGGAGGAGGAGGAGGAGAGAGGAGGGAGGAGGAGGAGGAGGAGGAGGAGGAGGAGAGGGAGGAGGAGGAGGAGGAGGGAGGAGGAGAGGAGGAGGAGGAGGAGGACGAGCTCGCCCTGAAAAATCACCCCGTTCACCCCCTGGCCCCCGCGCCCTGGATCGCCGCCCCGCGCCCCCCCCCGTGGCCTTCCAGGCAACCCGGACTTGTCAGCCCCCCGTCTGCCTGCCCTGCCCCTCCGCTTTTGCGGGGGCAAGGAGGCCCGCGAAACATTTTTTTCATTCGTCCGCCCCGTAAAGTTTTTTCCCTCTCCTCAGATCGCGTCGAAAACTCATGCCTGGGCTGGGCACTGATGTCGGAGACGCATGCCATGGCTATGCAAATCATGCCTGGGGGGCCACAGGCGAGGAGAAGCGGCTCTTCGAGACGGTTGCCGATCGCTGGGAAACATGTCTGGAGGTTTGCATGCTTCGACGTGTGAAATCTAACTTCTGTAATCCAGAACTCGGAAAACAGGGTGCCTGAAGGGCGTGGCAAGGCCTGGCGCAGCACTTTGGACAAACCAGGAGAGAGCTCTGGAACGTCCTTCTGAAGAGCTTCTGTGCGCGCGCATTGGGAAACGTACCTCGTGGGGCTCTCGTTTTGACCAGAGCTGGAGGAATCCGGCCGCAGGGTGGAGCTAGTTTGCCGATCGGGGCATAATGCAACTTGTGGTGACCTGGGCTCGGTTTTTGAAGCTTTTGATAAATATTTGACATGCCATTTTGAGATTTCATGTTTTCTACTGAGCATTGGGCCGCGCTGCGTTCGCTTCTATAACTTTCAGGGCTGTAGCTGCAATATTTCTATCGATTTGCTGCCCGACGATATACCCACCATCGTACTCTATATATATGTATATATAAGCAGAAACGATAGTTGTTCTGAATTAGTTTGACATTCAGGCGAGTTACAGAGGTTTCACGTGCACCGAGAGCCCGAACAGCGTCGAAAACTTCAGCATCGAGGATAAGGGCGCCTGAAATCAGTCTGCTACTCGAGCTATGGCCGAACAACTAATCGCACTCTGCAACCATTTGGTGCATGTGCTCGGTCTTTCGAGTTGATCTCATATTCATAGCATCTTCGGCGGTGAATTGTAGACGAATGGATTCAGGAGCATCAAGAGCTCTTGTTCGCATGGTTCGACGGTATCATATTGGCTTGCTCCTCGGGCGATGTTTGAACAGCTACTCGCACAGTGCCAGTTTTTGTGGCATTTGCTTGGTTTTTCGACTTGACCTCGAGATTTGGATCATCAGAATCGGAACGCATAGTTTAGAGCGTTGGGGCGTCTGAAATCAGTCTGCCACTCGAGCTATGGCCAAACAGCGGGTCGCACTCTGCAGTTCTTTGGGGCCAATGTTCGTTTTTTTGCCTTGAGCTCGACATTTTGAGCATCCGAGGTGGAATGTAGACCAACTCAGCAGGATTAGAAGCTCACGTTCACATAGCTTGAAAGCCTCAGATCGGCTCTCTCATCGAGGTATGTTTGACAAACTGCTCAGACTCTGCAAGTTTGCTGAGCACGTGCTCGGTTTTTCGATTGGATATCGACATTCGGAGCAGCTACAGACATTCAGTGTGCGCCAAGAGCCTCGGCAGCTTTCGCAAGCTTCCGTCCAGACAGAGGCTTGATAAGCCTGAGATCGGTCTGCTTGTCGAGCTTTGACAGAACGACGAATCGCACTCTGCAGCTCTTCGGGGCAAATGTTTGTTTTTTCCTTTTGATCTCGACATCCAGAGCATCTACAGAGGTGGACTGTAGACCAATAAATAGGTTCAGCAGCAGCAGAAGCTCACGTCGGCATGGTCTAACAGCCTGAGATGGGTCTCTCCTCGAGCTATGGCGGAAACATCATCCGCACTCTACAATTCTTTTGGCCAAATATTTGGTATACCTACTTGATCTCGACATTCGGAGCAGCTGGAAAAGGTTTTGCATGAACGGATAGGCTCAGCAGCATCAGCAGTTATGGTACATATTCTCCGAAAGCCTGAGATCGGTTTATTTCTCGAGCCATGTTCGGAAAACTATTGGTATTATTCGGCTGCTGCGCGGCTGCGAATGCGCGCCCTCGGCTGCGGCTGCTGCCGCGGGTCGTTTATAATATCAATATTATTATTGTGAGAGATTTGACACTTCGTCTTGAACATCAATATTTGTCGCATCTGTAGTAGGTTATGCCGCGCTTGCCGGTAACATGTCAGGTCTGTACCTGCAGTATTCCCATCGGAACTTGGCGCCGGCGGTGAACCGTTAACCAGAGTTATTGCCGGGAAACTCGTAGAGCTTCTGTCCGAGCAGAGACGCCCCTACAATGGATCGCATCACCGATGGGAGAGAAATTCAGTTCGAAGGGTTGCTCGAATTTCCGGTAAAGCCACGCGTCAGCTAATATTCTAGAGTCTGAATAGTTTATTGGGCAAGGATCGCTACGCAACAGAAATCGGCGCTCTCAAGACTCTAGAGGGATGCTTCCCAATCAACTTCAGTATATGAGAGCTCTGTAGCTGCTCTGAACCTTGCGATCTCACCGAGAAACCAAACCTGCGTCCCAGCAAGTTGCAGAGTCCGAGTAGCTGTTCGGTCATAACTCGAGTAGCAGACCGAGTTCAGGCTTGTCGATCCTCTACAGAGATGCTTCCGATGCTCCTGCAGCAATTGCTGCACATCAACTCGCTGTGAATGCTCCAGATCTCGAGATTTAACCGAAAGACTGAACATCGTGTTTCGGTCTTAGCTCGAGTAGCATATGCTGATGCGTTCGATGGTGTCGCAGTTATTGATGCCGGCACTCGGGCACCCGGGCACCTGAGCGCCCAGGCGTGTCGCCGAAATCGGCGCCATGCCTCACCTAACCATATGAATCCGCTAGGTCCCCTACAGAGGCAAGCTCTGATTGGGGAATGAATCGCTAGGGCCCCATACAGAGGCAAGCTCTGATTTGGGACGCATCACCGTCTTTAGTGGATTTAGCTGAAATCTGAATCAAGTCTTCACCGCTCCTCTGGACATCGAGTCGGAGACTTTTAATCCCTCCGCTGATAGGGAAGCTCTTCTTCCACCATGTATTCAAGCACGAAGGCTTCGACCATCCTATACATTTGCATGTGCCGCTCTTGATGGGATTCTCCGCCTCCGCAGCGTTGGTCCGTCCGTCTTTGAACGCTTTCTTTGAAAACGTCCCGCTGATTTGTAATGACAGCTGCAGCAACTCCGAAACTGCATCTTTGACCTTACCGTCGACCTCCTGCTTTCTTCTGGTATTGACGAGCTTTCTCGCGTATAGGAATGGGAAGTTCGACGACCTGCTCTCAGTTATTGGAGTGGTCGCGCAAGCTGTCTGTCATGGCGTCAATCAACTCGGCCAATTGGCCCCGACTCTGTTCAACTTCTTTGTCGATCATCTTCTCATCCTTTCTCGCGGCGCCATTACTTCTAACACTCTCAGCGGGTGCGAAATACTCCGATTCGTTCCTTCCTTTTGGACTGTTGGCTTTTTCTTTTGTTCTTGGTTACGGCCCACCCCTCGAAAACAGGCTGTGGACCCGCAGCACCCTTAGCACATGCGCTCGAGGAGTTCTCCGATGGCTCCCCCTCGCACCTAGCTGAACATGGCAGAACTTTGAGGGTCCGATGACGAGGCCAGAGGCTCCTCGCCGTGCGGACTCGTGAGCCCGTCCATCCAGTCCTCCGTGTTAGCATCACCCGCCGAGCCTCCCGCGTCCTCCTCCTCCTCCTCCCCCTCCCCCTCCTCCTCCTCCTCCTCCTCCACCTTCTCCTCCTCCTCCTCCTCCTCCTCCTCCTCCTCCTCCTCCTCCCCCTCCTCCTCCTCCTCCTTCTCCTCCTGCTCCTCCTCCTCTCCTCCTCCTCCTCCTCCTCCTCCTCCTCCTCCTCCTCCTCCTCCTCCTCCTCCCCCTCCTCCCCCTCCTCCCCCTCCTCCTCCTCCTCCTCCTCTCCTCCTCCTCCTCCTCCTCCTCCTCCTCCTCCTCCATCTGGCCAGGGGGCACCCGAGTGGCCCCCCCCCCCGCCGCAATGGGGGGACCCCCCGGGCTCTGGGTGGGGTCCTGGTCCCGCCACGCCCACGGCGGCAGACCTGCCGCGCCCCCCCCCAGCCGGGGCATCCTCCTCCTCCTCCTCCTCCTCCTCCTCCTCCTCCTCGTCGTCTTCTCCTCCTCCTCCTCCTCCTCCTCCTCCTCCTCCTCCCCTCCTCCTCCTCCTCCTCCTCCTCCTCCTCCTCCTCCTCCCCCCCTCCTCCTCCTCCTCCAACTCGTCGTCTTCTCCTCCTGCCCCTCCTCCTCCCCCCCCCGCGCAGGGGGCGGAGGGGGATGTGCCTCGTCGGCCGCCGGCACCCAGGCAGCAGGTGGGCCCCCGACAGCCGCTGGCCCTGCGAGGGCGCCATGGCACCCGCCGCGGGCAAGCAGCTGGAGCTCTCCGCCGCCATCCCCTGCCTGGACTGGCAGGCGTGGCGCGGCCCCGCCCCGGGGGGAATCACGCCCCGAGATCCTGCTCTTCCTCCTCCTCCTCCTCCTCCTCCTCCTCCTCCTCCTCCTCTTCCCCCTCTCCCTTTTTTTCCTCCTCTCCCCCCTCTTCCTCCTCCTCCTCCTCTTCCCCCTCTTCCTCCTCCTGCTCCTCTTCCTGCTGCTCCTCCTGCTCCTCCTGCTCATCCTCCTCCTCCTCATCCTCCTTCTGCTCCTCCTTCTGCTGCTCCTCCTCTTCCTGCTCCTCCTCCTGCTCCTCCTCCTCCTCCTTCTCCTCGTGGCGTGATCCCGTGGACACAGGCTCTGCATTACGGGGGCGGCAAAGAGGGGGGTGATTTACTAGTGGGGATGGATATCATGGCGTGGGCCATGATATCCATCCCCACCTGCGCAGCGTCGGACCTCGGGGCGGAGGGGCGTGGTGGGCTGCGCGCACTGATGGGGCGACGAAATCCGCAGGTGTCCACTGCCCCCCTGGCCAGGCCTCTCCTGGGCCCGGAAGGCCCTGCTGGCCAAGACAGGAGGGCGTGGCGTATGCGACGCCTGCTGGGTTCAGGATTGGCCTGGCCAGGGAGCAGTGGACCTGTATAGACTTCGTCGCCCGGGACTCGGGGAAACGTAAGACTCGAGTAAGCCGGAGCTCGGGTTTGCCGACGTTTTTGACGAGTGCGTCCTGGATTTTGGCGGCCTGGTTTCCTGGGATGTCTGCGGCGGGAGCCCGCGTCAAATTTCAGATGGGGCCTCGCCGTTTTTATGATGGCTCCGACAGGCGAACCCGAGTCCCCCGTACCCGAGTCTCACGTCTCCCCGAGAGGAGTGACCCTTCGCTGGCCCCCGCTCGGGGAGAGCACGGAGAGCAGCGGGGTCTGCCAGGGAGCTGCTCTCTCGGAGCTTCTCCCGCCCTGAGCCGGCCGCCGGCTCCAACTGCGAAGTGCAGACCCGCCCCGCGGCCTCTCGACCGTGCCGCTCCGCTGTGCGACTCCTGGACCCAGCGCTCCGACGTCGTGGTTTCGCCACGACGCTCGAAGAAGAGGAGATACCGTGCTAAACGTGACAATAGGCATAACAATGGTAATGCTCTCAACGCAAGTCATAGGAGTATCAACAGAAGGAGAGACTTAGAGAGCAGTGATGAGAGCAGAGAGCTGATACACATAAGCGAGTCTCGCTCACATGAGTCAATGCATTTGCATTCTTTTCACTAGCTATATTCGTGACACGAAGAAGAACACACGGCATGACCATGACTTCTTGGAGTTCTGCGCGGGCTTCTTGCATCTTCGATGGAGCCTCGCCTCTTGGGGCCTTATTAGGGCCTCTTGGGGGCTTTTGGGAGGGCTTCTGAAGTGTTCTTGGGGCCTCATTGGGGCTTCTTGGGGCCTTATTGGGGGCTCTTGGGGGCTTTTGGGACGTCTTGGGGCCGAAGGCTTGGAATATCCGTTCGGGTGGAGGCCTCGCGGCGCCGTCTCTGGCGCTCTCCGCGCGCCTTGGCAGGGCTGTCGGGAAACCGGCGCGGACCTTCGCAGGTCTGTTCGCAGGCAGCCCCTTCCCCCCAAACGTGGGCCCCCCACGGATCTCGGAAATTGGAACGTATACATTGTATACATTACCAGTGGCGGGCTGTTTTTCAATCCCAGGATTTTTTTTGAGAGTCGTGGACGACGCTGGGGTGGCGGGGTGTATGCTTTTTTCTCCGATGTCCCGCGGAAGCGAAAAATGTATACACCAGGATCCCGTATACACCAGGATCCGCTCTCCTGTGCGAGATTCAGTGTGAGGCCAGACAAGGTCTACAGCCGGGGCTCTGAATAAGGAACCCTTTTCGTTGGGGAGGGGCTTCGTGCTCCTTGATTGTTTCACATTCTGCCCCAGGTGTTATCCCTCGGATTTTCGACGAGAAGTCGAAGTCGAACTCCTGGAGAAACATGGGCCGCGCTCCAATTTCTTTGGGGTTCCTGAGGTCCACGCCCCGACGGCATTCGCACCTGCAGCCCTTTCTCCCCCCCAGGCGTGGGCCCCCTACGGACCTGCACCCCTGCCCCGACGCCGGCCTCTCGCCCTGGGCCGCCCCTTCGCCCGGCCGCCCGGGGGGGCCCGGCGGGGGCCCCCCCAATGGGGGGGCCCGGCGGGGGCTCCCGCCGGGAGGCCGCGCAGACCGCCGGAGGCCGTCGGCCGAGGAGGCGCGGGGGGCGGCGGGGCTGCGTGCGGGCCGGGTCGCCCGCGAGCTCGGAGTCCACGGCCCCTCTGCTGTGGGGCAGCTGTGGAGGAGGAGGAGGAGGAGGAGGAGGAGGAGGAGGAGGAGGAGGAGGAGGAGGAGGAGGAGGAGGAGGAGGAGGAGGAGGAGGAGGAGAAGGAGGAGGTCGGACGACAGGAAAGGGAGCAGAGGACAGAGTGTTTACACTGTTTGGAGGAATTGGTGCATGCAGTATGGGTCGGGCTTGAAGTGCCCCGAAGAGAGCGCGCGCCCCCGAATCGCAGGCATGTGGCTATATGCGGACCAGGACAGTTTGAGCCGCGGGCGCGTCGGGGCGGCCAGAGTCACCGGGCGCTCTCCACTACTCGCAAAGTGCCTGCTCGCAAACGTCCGACAAGCACATGTCTGCTTCGATGTAGTTCATCGCAGATCCCCCGCGGCGGATCCAGGCGATCTGCGAGTAGCTACTTTGCGAGTAGTGGAACGCGCTCGTCTAGAGATGTCCCCGCTGATGTCTTCCGTCGTCCGCCGCTGGCCGGCAGGCCACGCGCCGGCAGCGGCTCAGGGGCTTCTGGCGGGCGCGCCGGGGGCCAGTGTTTCCCTCACTCTCCCTCTCCGTGTCCTTCCCTCTCTTGCCCTCTCTGTTTTGGCCTTCCCTGCCTCCTTCTGTTCGCTTCTCTCACTCGCTTGATGGGGAGGTGAAGAGGTACGGGGGGAGAGGGGGAGGGAGAGATATAGAGAGAGAGCGAGGGGGAAAAAGAGAGAGGGAGAGACGGACAGAGATGGAAAGACAGTGGAGGAACGAGGGAGAGAGAGAGAGAGGACATGGTAGGAGTGAGAGGGATGCATCTAGCGCAGCAGCCCTCTTGGGCCGTCTGAGGGTCCTCTTTGGCGCCTCTTGGGCCATCTTGGGGGCCTCTCGGGGGCCTCCTTGGCCGTCTTAGGGGCCTCGTAGGCCGTATTGGACCCCGAGAACATCGAAACATTGCCGGGCAGTAGACGAGCTTGGCCTCCTCGGGGCCCTCCCGGGGAGGTTTTTGGGGCACTCTTGGGGCGCCTGGACGGCTTCTTGGGCCGTCTCGGGGTCACCTCGGGCGTCTTGGACCTCTCGTGCGGCGGTTCGGGTGACTCGTCTCGGGCCCACCTTGAGCTTCTTGGGCCGTCTTGGGGTCGCCCTGGGCGTCTTGGACCTCTCGTGCGGCGATTCGGGGTCCTCGTGGACTGTCTGGGCGAGCTCCTCGGGGGCCTCCCGGGCCCGTCGTGGCCCCCGTCGCGGCCCCGAGGAGTCGCGCGGCAGCGCGCGGGGGAGCCCAGAGGGCAGGCGGCGAGGCCCGGGAGAGGTGCGGCACCTTCGGGTCCGGGGGCCCTCCTCTCGGGGGCGGAAAAGAGGGGGGGGATGACTAGGGGGGGGTGGATATCATGGCGGGGGCCATGATAATCATCTCCCCAGATTTCATGGCGCCTCTCCTTATTCCATTACGTCCCCCTCTTGGACACCCCCCTCTTGGCTGCTCCCGAGTCCTCAAGAGCCCTCGGGACGGAGGAGTGAGCTCTCGAGGGATCGGGCCGAGGACCCGAGGACGCTCCGGCGCTCCAGCTCGTGCCTCCAGGGCACGGTGGTGCATAAGGGGTATTTGCTTTGCGTGCGTATGTATGTGTGTACTAATGTTACATACATACATACATATATATATACACACATAGGTGTGTATATATACATATGGCTATGCATACATATATGCATAGGCATGTATGCATGCATGCATGAATGCACGCATGTATGTACGTATGCATGCATGTATGTATGCATGCATGCATGTATGTATGTAAGTATGTAGGCGTGCGCGTGTGTGTATATATATATATATATATATCTTTAGGCATATGTGTATGTAAGCCTGTCCGTCTGTCTGTCTGTCTGTCTGTATGTACGTCTGCCTGTCTGTCTGCCTGTCTGTCTATCTGTCTGTCTGTTTGTTTGTCTGTTTGTCTGTCTGTCTGTCTGTCTGTCTGTCTGTATGCGTGTATGTATGTACGTATGTATGTATGTAGGTACGCACATGCGTACACACGCATGTATGTAATGTATGTGTGTATGCATGCCTGTATCTATCTATCTATGTATGTATGTATGTACGTATGTATGTATGTATGTACGTATTTGTATGTATGTATGTATGTATGTATGTATGTATGTATGTATGTATGTATGTATGTATGTACGTATGTATATATGTATGTATGTATGTATGTATGCATGCATGCATGCATACATGCATGTATGTATGTATGTATGTATGTATGCATGTTTGTATGCATACATGTATGCATGTATGTATGTATGCATGCATGCATGCATGCATGCATGTATGTATGTATGTATGCATGTATGTATGTATGTATGCATGCAGGTATGTATGTGTGTATGTATGTATGTGTGTATACATATATGTATACATATACACGCATATGCATATATATATATGTATGTATATATGTATGTATATATGTATGCCTGCATGCATGTACGTATGCATGTATGTATGTATATATGTATGTATACATTTATGTAGGTATGTATGTAGGTAGGCATGTATGTATGTATGCATGCATGCATGTATGCATTTATGTATGCGTGTATGTACACGCACACATATGTGTATGCGTATCTATATCGTGTATATATATGTATGTAGCATAACTTATAATGTACATGGAACCTCGTCTCTGGACCAGAGGCCCGCCACCTCGCAACCACCAAGCCGCGTTTGTCAGTACCCCCTCCTTGGGGCTCCAGGAGTCCTCAAGACGGTCTAGGAGGCCTCCAAGATAGTCTAAGATACCCTCACGACGGCTGAAGAGAGGCCCACAATGACCCTTGGAAGATGCAGTAACGCTCCGATGGATACACATATACGTATATACGCATATGTACATGTA